TTCACAAGCCCAGAGTTTGGGAGAAATGCTTTTGTTACTCGTTTGTGTTAAAATTTAAGACCAAATGTGTTTTGTACATAGTGTTTGGCCAACCATGGGTGATGGTGGCAATGAATTGATTGGTTTGTCCTGAGTTGCTCCTGCATGGCAGGGGGAGCACACAGCAGTGTGTGCCAGGCAGGTGTCTGTCTGCCCTGCTCTCCCTGAGCCTGGTGTGTTTAGTCTGTTCCCAGGCTGCTGGTGCTCTGAAATGTGGGCCAAGGCTATTTCTTGAAGCCATTTATCCTGAGTGCTTGGGAGCTCTGGGGTGCAGAGCAGAGCCTGCTGCTCTCTCCTGCAGCTTACCAGAGTGCTGCTGAGCACCATTCCCTTTCCCCCCTTGCTTTGGGGTGCAAGGTCTAGTTCCCAGGTGCTGTGCAGGGAGATGTTTGCCTTCTGCCCCCGCAGAGCTGGTTGTGAGATGAGATTGTGGCTGAAACTATCTCAGCTGATGCTTGGAGCCCTGTCCCAGCAGCTGGGCTGCCCAGCTCATGTGTTCCCCTCCATGGGGACATGTCCCCTCATCATCCTTCTGCACAACAGCTGCTTTGGCCGAGAGGGTGATCCCATCTGCCATGTGCTGCTGGTGCAAGGGAAACCTTAGGTCCCCCAGGCCAGAAGGGCAGGATGGTGTTCCCACCCTGCCCCACCTTCTCACCCATCCCTGTGCCACGTGTGTCCGTGATTCCCCATGGTCTGCCCAGCCCTGCTGGGCTCGGGGTGTCTGTACCTTTGTGTGTCATGGCTTGTTTGTACCGAGTCTTTGGAGAATAAAATAAAGCTGCTCTGACCCACTCGTGCAGGATGTCCTGCGTGGGGCTGGGACTGGTACCCGGGGCCCGGTGAGGGTGGTGGCTCCTCGGGATGGTACCCACTGTGGGTAGGGGAAGGGGCAGTGGCTTTGCCAGGGCTGTTGCCTGGTAGGGACTGTGGTTCTCTGGTGCTGGTACCCGGTACCGGTGCCCAGTAAGGGCAGAGTCGTTGACCCCCAGGGCTGATGCTATTGCCTGGTACGGGTGGTGACCTCCCCGGGCTGCTGTTCTTGCCTGGGGCAGGTTCTTAGTGCTGGTGACACCCCCGGTGCCCTGTGCCCTGTAGGGACAGTGATGCTGGTGCCAGTGCCTGGCAGGGATGGTGACCCCCCGGTGCCGGTA